TAAAAAAAAAAAAAGTGAAGCATATGAAAAGGGCTTTAAAACATTCATTGAATGCATACTATGAAAACCTACGAATGAATTTCACAATTTTTGCACCAAAATAAACTCATACTTTAATTCCATTTTTCCACAAACTTGTTTTTTCAGAGTTTTTTGTTTGTTTGTTTGTTTTGTTTTTGGCTATAGGGCGTGTGCGCTCACAAGAAAGACAGAGACAGACAGAGAGACAGAAAGCAAGAAATCACCCCCCAGGGGGGATGGCCACACTGCAATCCCTTCTCCTCCATTCTCTTCTTGGAATCTTGGGCACGCACGCACATGTGCCTGGCGTGAGTTTAAGTTACCGGGTCCAGGACTCGAACTGCGGTCGACTACATGGGGGTCCGGCAACACAGCCATTACTCTAACTGCTGGTCCCAGAATTTTAGTTCTTTGGGCCAGCAAATGGCGTAGTGGTTAGGGCTCTGGACTCCCACATGGCCTACTGTGGTTTGAGTCCCAGACCTGGTGGTTTGCTTTCTCACCCTCTCTCTCTAGCTGTCTCTCTCTCTCTATCTCTCTGGTGAGTGCATGGGACCTGGAGCAAATGTAAAAATAATAATGATAAATAAAATTAAATAATTCCAGGGGCCAGCAGATGGGATGGTGGCTAAGGATGCTGGACTCCCACCATGGCCGACCATAGTTCCAGTCCCAAACCTGGTGGCTTGCTTTCTCACTCCCCCTTCTCTCTCTCTCTCACTTTGTCCCTCTCTGGACAATTTAAAACAAACAAATAAATAAAGTTAAATAAAATAATTCTTTAAACAAATTCTGGAAAAATAAAAAAAGGAATATTAGTTCTTGGGATCAGCACATGGCATGGTGGTTAAGGCACTGGACTCCCCTGTGGCCGATCACGGTTTGAGTCCCAGAATGATGATTTATAAATCATACCAGGCACCTGTGCGTGTGTGCCCAAAGTCACAGGAGGATAACGGAGGAGAAAGGATCCTCCCTGGGGGGTGATTTCTCACTTTCCCCCCCTCTCTCTCTCCGGCAAGCATTTGCGCCCTGTGGCATAATCTTTAAAACAAACAAGCAAAGACACCCCTTTGGGGCCAGGTGGTGGCAGTGGTAACACAGCTGGGTCCACATGGCACAGGTCCTGGGGTTACATCCCAGGGGGGTCGGTAAGAGGACGGTGATGGTGACGCCAGGTGGGTGAGGCGGGACCAGGGCGCAAGAGCACGTGCATGTGAAGCCGGCTCTGCATCGGACGGGTCCACACCCTGCCCGGCACGCCCTCACCTGTGCTCACTGAAGACGGAGTTTTCCAGAACGATCTTCTCCAGCAGCTCCATCAGCTCGCTCGGCAGGTCGGCCGTCATGAAGGCTTTGACCGTGACGGAGATCTCCTCTGGATCCTGCGTTTCCGACAGCGCCGTTTGTACCACCTGGTTCAAAGAGCATTTAGGGGGAATGATTAACTCCTTAAAGCCAATCTGAGGCTGCACCTTTGACACGCTACATTGAACAGAAGGACTCCCCCAGGGTGGCCTGGGAGATTCCGCGAGGAGAAAAGGAAAAGCATCGAAGAGTGGATTGCAAAAGGGCTACACTCGGGGCGAGCAGGTGGTGTGGTGGTTAAGGAGCTGGTCTCCCACATGGCCGACAACAGTTCAAGTCCTGGACCTGGTGGCTTGAAAATCATGCTGGGCCCGTGTGCGTGCATGCCCAAAATCCTGAGAGGAGAATGGAGGAGAGGGGACTGTGGCATGGCCTTCCCTCCTGAGGGTGTGCGTGTGACTTATCACTTTCCCTCTCACTGTCTCTCTCTGCCTCTCTCTGGCGAGTGCATGTGCCTTATGGCAAAAACCTTAAAAAAATAAATAAAAAGGGCTACACTTTTATCTCCCGCCCCAGTGATCACACTGTGTCAGGTCAGTGCACGTCAAACCATCAACGCAGTGAAACCTGGGTACTTGAAATGCATGTCTCCTCGGGACCAGCAGTTAGCGTAATGGCTATGTCGCTGGACTCCCATGTAGTCGACCACGGTTCGAGTACCGGACCTGGTGGCTTAAAACTCACGCCGGGAGTGTGTGCGTGCGTGCCCAAGATCCCGAGAGGAGAATGGAGGAGAAGGGATTGCGGCGTGGCCATCCCCCCATGGGGTGATTTCTCGCTTTCTGTCTCTCTGTCTGATGAGCGCACGTGCCCTAGAGCAAAAATCCTCTCCCAAATAAAAAAAAAAAAAAAGAAAAGAAAAGAAAAAAAATGCATGTCTCTTATCTTTGCAATTTTTTGGTTTTTATTTTCCCATTAAAGACAAAGTTCCACTCTGTTGCAAGCCTCCTGGCTCAGCCTCCTGGGCAGCTGGGATCGCAAGCGTGCGGCATCACGCCTAGCTTTAGGTCGGGCTGGGACTCACAGTCAGTGTGGTCCCGGCCTGTGGAGCATGGGCCCTTCCTGGTGCACACCCCGCGGCGAGGTTATTACGGCCGTTGAAAGCCACCACCCAGGGCAGACAATGGCCTTTATTTCTCTAGTGAAGACACTGCAGGGGCCCACGCAGCCTCCTGTGACCCGAACACGGGGCCCGGCAGTGGCTGTGGCCCTGGCCACTTCCAGTGGACGCGATCAAGTGCAGTTGGAGTATGGAGCTGCGAGCCTTCGCTCCAGCGGCCACTCGGAACCAGCTCTGATGGAAAGGCTGATGAGACTGGCCGTGCCTCACCCAATTCCGGGTGCCTCAGTGCCCTCAGCCATCACAGGGCAGGTACTCCCCCAGCAGCCGCACGCCGGACCGCGGCAGGGGCTCCCCCAGCAGCCACACACTGGACCAGCCTGTGCCCCTGCACGTGTCTCTGGGCTCTGCGATTTTTGCTCAGTGTCTGTGCTCTGCAGGGTGGGCGACAGCTGTGCTTTAGTGGGAAGCGCAGACAGCTCCCAGGACTTCCGGAGCTCACACGGCCCTGGTCGTAAACTTTGCCGTGACCTGGATAGGTTTAAGGGTCCCAGGGTGAGAGTCAGCCCAGCCCGGCGTTTGTTCGGAGGCCCCTGGGTCCGCAATGGCGCCATGAGATGGAAAGTCCCGCCGCTGTGAGCGTGCCAGTCACAGCAGGTATGCAGAGGGGTCAGGGGACGGACACTGTCCCTGTAGCTAAGTGATCAGAGAGGGTGTCCTCGGGGGAGGGGGTGCCAAGACACAGCACACCAAGTCCAGCCACAGGAGGAGACCAGCTTCCTGGCAGCACACGGCGACAGCTAAGTCGTTTAAACAAACAGGTTTCCAAAGGCAAAAATAAACATCCACTGCTCATTGCAGTCAACACAGCCCGCCCAAGCCAGGTTACCTCAGGGCACGGCCTCCTCTGAGTCAACTTTGCAAAGTCACGTTGGACTCAGACGCTAAAAGCGGGGTGTCTGTCACGGCTCCCAGTGGGCGATGCACCGCAGGGAGCTGAGCGTCCACCAGGGGGCGGCGGCACGTCTTCAAGTACCGCGGACATGGTGGCAGCAGCGGCCGGCCGAGCAGGGCAGGAGGTGCAGCGGGCTCTAGTCCAGGCAGCATGAAAGCTGCCCGTGCCCACCGCCAACGCCAGGTCACCTGTACTGTGGACCGAGTGGCTGGACCACGCCGGCAGAGCGGCCGAGGCCCACACACGTGGAAGCAGACCGTGGCAGGAGCCACGGGGACCCGCCCGGCCCTGTTCAGTGCTGGAAGGATGGAGGGGGAGGGATCCTCCCGCCCGGCCCTGTTCAGTGCTGGAAGGATGGGGGGGCGGGGAATCCTTGGGCTGGGTAGGTGGAGGCTGATGGAAGGGAGTTAGAACAAGATGGGCTTCTGGAAATCTGCGAATGCTCTGAAATTCAACGTTTATTTAGGGGCTGCCCCGTAGCCTGCTGGTTCAGGGAGTTGGATCGCACACCGGTGACCGTGGCTCGAATCCCAGCTGCAGAAGCTTGGAAAAAACTGGGTGCGTGTGTGCGCGTGCATGCGTGTGTCCCAAATCCCAGCAGGATGGGGAAACGGAGAAGAGATTACAGTGTGACCACACCCCATTTCAGGGAGCTTTCTCACGCCCCTGCCCCCCTAGTCTGACTCTGGAAGGTACACACGCTCTCTGGGAATTCAAAGAAAAAAAAAGGGTATTTAAATAAGATAAACAACAGCAGAGGCTTGGAGGAATAGCGGGTGGAACGTCAGGAGAGGAAATTCAGCAGAAATAAAGGTGAATCCAACCCTTCGGGTCAAAGCGCCCCTCCAGTCTTTTAGTACTTCTTTTAGTACTTCTTTTAGTACTTCTTTTTTTTTTTTTTTAAGAGGTTTTTGCTATAGGGTGCGTGCGCTCGCCGGAAAGACAGAGACAGAGAGACAGAAAGTGAGAAATCACCCCCCAGGGGGGATGGCCATGCCACAATCCCTTCTCCTCCAGTCTCCTCTCGGGATCTTGGGCACGCATGCACACGCACCCGGCGTGAGTTTAAGCCACCGGGTTTGGGACTCGAACTGCGGTCGACTACATGGGAGTCCAGCAACACAGCCATTACGCTAACTGCTGGTCCCTGCTTTTAATAATTTTAAAAGAAGTTTTGACTTCCTGTATTATAGCCTTCATCTCCAACAGTTCGGAAGTGGCAGAGGGTGAGAAATAGGAGGAAAAATATATAATACAAGAAACAAGAAATGGAAGATTACTTGTGGATAATAACATGTATGATGAAGCCACTTTGCTGTGTATCCTGGCTGGAAAATCGCATTTTGTATGCTGTGGTGATGTGCAGTGAAAGAATGAAAAATAAAAACCAAAACAAAAAACACCATGCACCCATCCAGCGGGCTGTCAATACGCAGGATGGGGTGGGGGGGTCCATGGATCACGCGCCCAGGGCTGACGCCACGTGCTGGTCCCAGGTTTCGTCCCTTCGCTGGTCTCGGCCCTGCCTTAACTGGCGTGCTCAGCAGCCTAGGGGACAGCGCTGGGGACAAACTAGGCGTGACCTTCCAACATGTGGGAGGCTGCGACAGGAGGGCAGGCCTCGTCCACAGACTCCCACCTATGAGGCCAGACCTGGTAACAACCACCGGTCCCAGCGCCCGGCCCCAGCTCCCAGGGGGTGCTGGATGGTCAGAGGCATAAGGAGACCCCCGAGGAAAGTTGGTGAGCTGGGAAGACCTGGACAGCCGCTGAGCTTGGTGAGAAGAACTGAGCTGGCCAAACCTCCCCAGACCCAGCACGCAGGCCCGCCTTCGGGTAACTGTTTCCAGGGGCCGCCGTGGCTCCAAGGGCCTCCTGGACGCCCTCGGTCAGTAAACACCTGCGGCTCATCCTCGGGGGTTGGCCAGGGCTGGGCAGGCTGCCCTGCAGGAGAGGGTCACAGCGCTGTGCTGTCAGGTGTGATGGGCGGACCAGCCGCTGGGCCCGAGGTGCGGACGCCCGTCCCTGTGCCTCACCTGGTCGATGAGCTGTCTCCGACACGGGTTGGTCTCCTCAAGGACGTGAGCCCAGAGTTCTGGATCCTTCCTGCGCACCAGGTAGCGGGCCTCGCTTTTGAACAGGGAGTTCTCGTCGCACACCTGAAATGAGCAAAATGGCGTGGGTGACACAAGTGGCCAACGGAAGCTACTTGGGAGACACACCCCGGGTGGTCCTCTCTGTCCCTGACACTAGTTTGGTGCCGGCTGGAGCCAAAGCCTGGATGGGGACCAGCAGCATCTGGCAAGGACAGCACTGCCCCCCGCGGAGACACAAATGACCTTGAAACGCCCCTTTCCAAGACCATGACACCCCGTGGAATGTGCCACAGCCCCTGCACTGGAGCCTTCCATGACGAGGGATGTGCTCCGTGTCACGTGCTGTTTGGGGCCACCGCTAGCCCGAAGAGGCTACTGGGTGCTGGAACCGCGGCGTGAGACTGAAGAACTTCATTTGTAATTTCCATTTTATTTATTTATTAAGGAGAGGTTTTTGTTTTGTTCTGTTCTCTATAGGGCGCGTGCGCTCGCCAGAAAGACAGAGAGAGACACAGAGACAGGAAGCGAGAAATCACCCCCCAGGGGGGATGGCCACGCCACAATCCCTTCTCCTCCATTCTCCTCTCGGGATCTTGGGCACGCACGCACACGCGCCCGGCGTGAGTTTAAGCCACTGGGTCAGGGACTTGAACCGTGGTTGACTACATGGGAGTCCAGTGACATAGCCATTACGCTAACTGCTGGTCTCATAATTTCCATTTTAGTTCATTTGAATTTAAGTACTCGGTGCCAGGTGGAACGTAGTGGCGCTACAACTGGACCCATGTGGGGAAGGGCCTGGGTTTGTGTCCTGGGACCTCCCTGGGTGTGCCTGCTGAGCCTGGAGGGGATGGTGGCAGGAAGGTCCTGTTGGGGGTGCCTGTCTCTTTCTTTTTCTATGTCTCTCTCGTGAAATAAATAAAAACATAAATAAGAGAGGCTGGCAGGTGGCGTGGTGGTTGGGGTGCTGGACTCCCACATGGCCAATCACGGTTCGAGTCCCAGACCTAGTGGCTTGCTTTCTTGCTTTCTTTCTCTCTGATCAAATGAAATGATAAATGATGATAGCAATAATAAAGAAAACTGAATAAATAATCCTATACAAATAAATAAATGAGGGACCAGCAGTTGGTGTAATGGCTATGTCGCTGGACTCCCATGTAGTCGACCGCAGTTCGAGTCCCAGATCCGGTGGCTTAAACTCATGCCGGGCGCGTGTGCGTGCATGCCCAAGATCCCGAGAGGAGAATGGAGGAGAAGGGATTGCGGCGTGGCCATCCCCCCTGGGGGGTGATTTCTCGCTTTCTGTCTCTCTGTCTTTCTGGTGAGCACATGTACCCTATAGCAAAAACCTCTCCAAAAACAAATAAATAAACGAACAGTAACAAAAAGTCGATTAAAAAATAGTAACTCTAAGTGCTCACATGTAGGTAGCTCTAAAGCGTCTCCTAAGAGTTTTCAGACAAAGCCAGTCCTGGCGTAGAACAGCGCCTGGCCTGTGGCGTTCCCGGGCAGGAGAGCATTCGCACGTGCTCTCGTGGACGGTTCTGAGTGTCAGCACGGCTCTCCGGAGGACCGAGCGTCCGCTGCACTTCCCGACGTGGAGGCACCTGCGAGTCCTGGTGAGAGTCACCCCCGCCGGGCAGTGACGCAGCCGGTGTGCACACCACGGGCCAGAACCGGCTGGCAGGGCGCCGAGCCCAGGGGAGTCCTGCCCGCCACGTCACATTGCTGCTCGTTTCTGAACACGGCGGACCCTAACGAGGGCTGCATTCCTACTGAAGCTGGGGCTCATTAAAAGGACAGGTCCGGGACCACCAGTTGGCGTCATGGCTCCGTCGCTGACTCCCAGGTAGTCAACCGCAGTTCAAGTCCTGGACCCGGTGGCTTAAACTCATGCCGGGCGCGTGTGCGTGTGTGCCCAAGATCCCGAGAGGAGAATGGAGGAGAAGGGATTGCGGAGTGGCCATGCCCTCTGGGGGGGTGATTTCTCGCTTTCTGTCTCTCTGTCTCTTTCTCTGTCTTTCTGGCGAGCGCACGCGCCCTACAGGAAAAACCTCTCAATCAATCAATCAATCAATCAATCAATAAAAGGACAGGTCACTTCCCAGCCCAGACTGGTGCTAAGGTCCCCCAGAGGTCAGTAAATTGTGCTTCTGGCTTCCCGGTGTCACACCAAAGCCAGTTCTGCACAGGCTGCCTGGGGAGAGGCTGTCCCTGCTTGGCCCTGCCGCTCGGTGGTCAGTGCCCTGGACTGGGGTGAAACCAGAGGCTGGCGGGCTGTTCTCCACCTGCACCTCCCACAGCCTTGGCCTCTCACACGTGTGTCTGAGCGGCTGTGCAGATGGCACCTGGCCAGATGCCGAGTGCCGGGATGGACGGCCAGCCTCCTCGGGAGTTACCGTGGAGGAGATGGGGGATCACCCACAGGACATTTCTGGACTTTAGGTCAAATGGGTAAGGATCAACACTTCATATGATTCACCCTGAAACCTAAACATCGTGTTCGTGCAGACCAAGCCTGGGGACGAGGCAGGAGACCCGGGCGACTTTCAGGAGGGGACCATGAGTGAGGTGGGTCAGGAAGCGGTGGGGGAGAGCTTGTGGGTGACCTAAGAAAGGACAGGAGGTTCAAGGGCTCTAGAGACAGAGGCCCAGGGGACCGCAGCCACTCCAGATGGGATGGCCAGAGGGGCAGCTGATTTGGCCAGTGGAGGGAGGTGGCAGCCCACAAGGAGCTTAATGTCACCCTGGAGTCACCAGGTCGCGCCGAGGACTCAAGCAGAGGGGAGCTGGGTCGGACTTGGGGCCGGTTAGACGTATAGACAAGCGGGCCGAGCGGGTCCAGGAAGCTCCCCTCCTGACCCGCCCCAGGGCCGAGCGCGCCCACCTTGATGAAGGCGAGGTCGCAGCGGCCCCGCTCGTAGGCCACGCAGGCCAGGTGTGGGTCCCTCTTCTCGCAGTAGCGGCCCACCACGCCGCTGTCGTAGAAGGCGTTCTCCCTGAGGAAGCGCTCGGGGCTGTGGTTGCTGTCGATGTAGATTTTGGCCAGTGCGTTGTGGGTGGCCGGCTCTTCACAGCCTTCCTGAGCCCGGGACTCCAGCCAGGGAAGCAGCAGCTTGAGCCTCGGGAGGGAAGAACACAGTCAGTCTCCAGGGTCACCCGGGGGCTCTGAGGGCTGGAAACACAAAATGTCTCTTGTGCCATTCGCTCCAGGTGGCTCAAGAAATCAAGGCAGATTGGTTTCAAAATGGTGAAGTCTTTTGCCAAGACTGAGGGATCCTGGAAACCCAAAGGAGAGCCCATAACCATCATGTTGAGGACATGGCTGTTCCCCCATGGTCACCGCGGTGTTCACAATAGCCAAGAGGGGTTGACCTCGGCGCCCATCAGCGCGCAGCAGACACAGAAAATGTGGCGTATATACACAGAGGACTGCTAGGCAGCTACATGAAAGAATGAAACCAGGGGCCGGCAGGTGGCGTGGTGGTTGGGGCACTGGACTCCCACGTGGCTGACGGCGGTTCGAGTCCCAAACCTGGCATCTGACTTTCTCACTCTTCTTTTCTCTCTCTCTGTCTCTCTCTGGTCAAAATGGAACAGTAATAATAATAAATAAAATGATAAATAAATAAACCTTAAAAAAATAAATTTTAGGGCTGGTTCCGTGGAGCAGTGGTAATGCATTGCTCAAGAGAAGCTAGGTCCTGGGACCAGCAGTTAGCATAATGGCTGTGTCGCTGGACTCCCATGTAGTAGACCGCAGTTTGAGTCCTGGACCCGGTGGCTTAAACTCACACTGGGCGCGTGTGCGTGCGTGCCCAAGATCCCGAGAGGAGAATGGAGGAGAAGGGATTGCGGTGTGGCCATTCCCCCTGGGGGGTGATTTCTTGCTTTCTGTCTCTCTGTCTCTCTCTGTCTGTCTGGCAAGCACACGCGCCCTATAGCAAAAATCTCTTAAAAAAAAAGAGGAGCTAGGTCCCACCTGGTGACTGTGGTTTGTCTCTGGCTTGGTTGGCCTTGAAACATGGAGGGCACCTACGAGAGTGACCCAAGACCCGAGGGCTCCAGGACGGTGCTCCTTCCACGAACACATACTTGCTCTATCACGAATGCATTTTTAAAAATATTTTTAAAAGTAAAAAGAAAAACCTGCCCCCCCAAATAACATAAAAATAAACAAATAAATAAAATTCCTTCTTAGGCTTCTTAGAAGAAAAAAAAAAAGTCTCCCTCTGAGGGCTAGCAGGTGGCAGAGGTTTAGGTGCAGGATGCCACATGGCCGACTGTGGTTCGAGTCTGGACCCTGCAGCCCGAACACACGCTGAGCACGTGTGCACGCATGTCCAAAATCCCGAGGGGAGGATGGAGGAGGAGGGACTGTTGTATGGCCATTCCTCTTCTGGGGTGATTTCTCACTCTCCTTCTCTCCTTTTCTAGCAACTGTATGTGTTCTATAGCAAAGTGGAAAAAAGAAAAAAAGTTGGGGACCAGCAGACGGTGTAATGGTTACATTGCTGGACCACGGAGTTGACCATGGTTCGAGTCCCGGACTCGGTGGCTTAAAACACGCCGGGGTGCGTATGTGTGTGTGCGTGCCCAAAATCCCAAGAGGAGAACAGAGGAAAAGGGATGGCAGTGTGGCTATCCCTCCTGGGGGGTGATTTCTGGCTGTCTCTCTGTTTCTCTCTGTCTCTCTGTTTCTCTCTGTCTCTCCGGCGAGCGCATGCGCCCTAGCAAAAACACAACAAAACAAAACTTAAAAAACAACCATCTTGCTACAGAAAAAAAAAAAAAGCGTTCCCTTGGGTCCTCAGTAAGAACATGCTAGATCTCAGGCGTGGACATGACCAGCCACAGAGATAATTCTGGGCCCAGGAGGCACGCCGTTTGGACAATCGGCCAGAGACTCCAGAGACGCCAGACTCCCGGCGGAGGGAAGACACGGGCCGGGCAGCTCACCTGTTTCTCTTCTCGACTTCGGCCACCAGCTCGTCGGTGGAGAACTGCCCCGTCACCACCGTGAGGAGGTTTTTAATGACTTCCTCAGGACAGTCCACGTCCAGCAGCCCTCCGACCACAGCGGGGATCCGGCTGGGGTTGACCTGGAAGGGCCAGGGTGGGATTTCATGCTGCAGACGCTGGTCACGTGGGGTCCCCCGAGGTGTGGACGGTGTGGCGACAATCCGAAAAGGGCTCCCTATGTAGGACTGGACGGAGCCCTACCAAACTCCCGCCCCCGATGGGCCCCACTGGGAGATAGTCTGTCAGGGGTTGGCTGATGCCGAGGGCGGGCCCTGACCCAGGAGGACTGGCGACTCCACCAGGAGTGCACGGGCCCTGGAAGAGGCCGCGTGAGGGCCCAGCAAGGAGGCGGCCATCGGCGAGCCCGGGGGAGAGTCCTCAGCAGAGCCCGACCCTGCCTACTCCTGGATCGGGGACTGCTGACCCCCAGAGCTCTGGGAAACACGTTTCGGGGTTCTGTTCTGTGGGGCTCTGCTCTGACAGCCTGCACACACTGAGACACCACCCGGCAGACAGACCGGTGGCCTCTGACGTGTCTGGGGGTCAGAGGTGGCCTCTCAGGTGCAGGCTGTCATCACTGACCAGGGCCAGGACGCAGCCAGTGTGGCCTCAGGGAGCCAGCGGTGGCCGTCCCGGTGGTACTCACTTTTCTTTCTTTTTTTCCCCAAAAGGGAATTATTTATTTCATCAATTCCATTTGTTATTATTGCTTTATTTTTTTTTTTTGGAGAGGTTTTTGGTATAGGGCGTGAGCACTCACCAGAAAGACAGAGACAGAGAGACAGAAAGCAAGAAATCATCCCCCAGGGGAATGGCCACACTAATCCCTTCTCCTCCATTCTCCTCTTGGGATCTTGGGCACACACGCACACGCACCCGGCGTGAGTTTAAGCCACCGGGTTCGGGACTCGAACCGCGGTCAACTACATGGGAGTCCAGTGACGTAGTCATTACGCCAACTGCTGGTTCCGTTATTATTACTTTTTTATTTGACCAGAGAGACAGAGAGAGAAAAAGGGAAAGTGAGAAAGCAAACTGCCAGGCTGGGGACTAGAACCTCAGTCGGCCATGCGGGAATCCAGCGTCTTTATCACCCATGCCTGACTCCCCCAGTGGCACCTTCTGAACGTAGATCTCGATGTACTTCTGCAGGTTATTGCGGTACAGGTACAGGACGAGGTCGTGGACAAAGTCGAAGCGATCGCACACGATGATGAGGGGAAGCTGGTCTGTGAGCTTGGCCTCCTGCGAGTCGGAAGGCAAGAGATGGGGGAACCAGCAGTTAGCGTAATGGCTGTGTCGCTGGACTCCCACGTAGTCGACCGCAGTTCGAGTCTCGGACCAGGGGGCTTGAATAAACGCCGGGCACGTGTGCGTGCGTGCCCAAGATCCCGAGAGGAGAATGGAGGAGAAGGGATTGTGGTGTGGCCATCCCCCCTGGGGGGTGATTTCTCGCTTTCTGTCTCTATGTCTCTCTCTGTCTGTCTTGTGAGTGCACGCGCCCTATAGCAAAAACCTCTCCAAAAAAAAAAAAAATATATATATATATGGATAGTGGGGAGGCAAGTTGCCCCACTTAGCCCCGAGGCCACTCAGGACCATCCCTTCTAGTCAACTGGGGAGATGAGAGTCAGGGCCATGCTGAAGATGGGAGAGCAGCCATTGGAGCAGCCATTTTTTTTGGTGAAGCATCAACGATTTCATTGTTCTTTCACCCAAGCTTCGCCATGACTTTGATACTAGTTTTGCTTAGATTTTAGAATTCATGCTGCTTTTACAAGTGCTCTTTTCTTTTTTTAAAGAATGATTTTATTTATTCATTCATTGAATTTAAATTGACCAGAAAGACACACACACACACACACACACACACACACACACACAGAGGGAGAGGGAGTGAGAAAGCAAGCCACCAGGTCCAGGACTTGAACCATAACCAGCGATGTGGGAGTGTCCAATGCCTTAGCCACACCACCTGTTAGTCCCCATCTCTTCTTTTTTTTAATAGAGGTTTTTCTATAGGATGTGTGCACTCACCAGAGACAGAGAGAGAAACAGAGAGAGAGGAAGTGAGAAATCACTCCCTGGAGGGGATGGCCACACCATAATCCCTTCTCTTCTCTTCTCCTCTTGGGCACGCACACGCGCCCAGAGTGAGTTTCAAGTCACAGGGTCTGGGACTCAAACTCCAGTCGGTCATGTGGGAGCCCAGCACCTCGACTGCTACGCTGCCTGCCGACCCCCAGACTGGTTCTTAAAGCACAGTGGGAAGGGGCCGGCAGGTGGCGTGGTTAAGGCTCTTGACTCCACACGTCCGACTGAAGTTCAAGTCGGACCCGGTGGCTTGGCTTGAAAATCACACTGGCGCGTGTGTGTGAGTGCCCAGGATTTGGGGAGGGGAAGGGACTGTGGCATGGCCATCCCCCGGGGGCTGATTTCTCATTCTCCCTCTCACTGCCTCTGCCTCTCCCTGGTGAGTACACACACCCTATGACAATAACCTCTTTTTTTTTTTTTTTGGAGAGATTTTCACTGTAGGGCGCGTGCGCTCGCCAGACAGACAGAGAGAGACATAGAGACAGAAAGCGAGAAATCACCCCCCAGGGGGGATGGTCACGCTGCAATCCCTTCTCCTCCATTCTCCTCTCGGGATCTTGGGCACGCACGCACACGCGCCCGGTGTGAGTTTTAAGCCACTGGGTCCGGGACACGAACCGCGGTCGACTACATGGGAGGCCAGCGACATAGCCATTACGCTAACTGCTGGTTCCCAATAACCTCTTTTGTAAAAAAATGGGGAGTGGGCAGGAAAGCCACCTCACTTAGCCCCGTGCCACCCAGGGCCATCACGTGAGGAGACAAGGCACACCGAGTGGCCTGCTGGTCTTGGCGGCTTGCTGGCGGGGCAAGACTGGGAGGCTGCCAGGCCTGACTCCTTCCACTGCGTTCCAGACAGTCCAGAGCACAGACTAAGCGTCTTACTTTTCAGAGGTTTTCACCTTTGGGAACATGTACTCACTAAAGAGAGAGATAGAGACTGTGAGGAGGAAAGAGAGACATTACCCCCTGGGGGAATGGCCATGCCACAATCCCTTCTTCATCTCCTCTCGGGATTTTAGGCATGCGTGCACACACATACACACACACACACACACACATGCCCAGGGTGGTTTTAAGTCACCAGATCCAGGACTCGAACCACAGTTGACCATGTGGGAGTCCAGTGCCTCAGCCACTATGACATCTGCTGGCCCCTGTTCATGATTTTTTTTTAAAGAGGTTTTTTTTGTCTTGGAGCGCATGCGCTTTCGCTGGAGAGAGAGACAGAGACAATGAGCAACAAAGTGAAAATCAACCCCTAGCGGGGATGGCTACACTGCAATCTCTTCTCTATTCTCCTCTGGGGATCTTGAACACACATGTTCGTTCTCCCAGCGTGATTTTCTTTTAAAACTTTTTAAAAAGAATTTTTCTATTTAACTTTATTTATTTTATTTTGACCAGAGAGGGACAGAGAGAGAGAGAGAGAAAATGAGAAAGCAAGCCACCAGGTCTGGGATTCAAACCATGGTTGGCCATGTGGAAGTGGCCAGCACCCTTAACCGCCATGCCACCTGCTGGCCCCCAGCATGAATTTCAAGTCACTGGGGCCGGGACTCGAACCCTGGCCAGCCACGTGGGAGTCCAGTGAAGCAACCACTACGCCATCTGCTGGTTGCTCACAGTGGGGTCTCACAGCGTGAGTGGGCTCCTCGGGAGCTCTAGACCATGGAGTGGGGGTCTGTGGCTGGGGACTGAGGGACACTGGGGACAGATCTGACCCTGCCCTCCTCAGGGACACAGCCCGGGCGCGGAGGCCAGGCTGACGCACCTTCAGGAAGTTCTTCACCCGCTCGGGGTCGTAGCACGCGCTCTCCCGGCATATCCGCTCCACCTCCTTGATCTGCCCGGTCTTGCAGGCGGCCTGGATGTACTTCAGATGCACGTCGGGGTCTTGGCTGAAGTTCACGATGGAGCCCAGGAAGTAGAAGAGGCCTAGGGACAGAGGCTGTCCCGTTTGGGTCTTCCTAACACCCCTGCCTGTCCAGGACGACCGCCCACCTCCCTGGACCCCGCCACGGTGACCCTGCTCCAATCTGCGGGCGCCCACAGCCCACGCAGAGCTCGTCATCCGTGTGGGGTCCATCTGCTTGGCACCTCCCCCAGACGGCTAACACTTGGGGTGTTCTAATGCAGGACACTGGTTTGCAGGTGCATGAGAATTCTTCGGGGGACCAGGTACGCTTCAGATGGTCACGTGACTTCAAGCAAGCCACACCAGGGTCACCCGAGAGGCCTGGGGCTGCTGTTCCAAGGCCGTGCCTCCGACAGGAGCCTCCCCACGAGGGGGCTGTGACGGATGCGGAGCCCCACGGGGAGGGACGGGATGGCACCTGACTGTCATGGGGCCCTCCGGGAGGTTACAGCACATCAGAGTTGGCCCCTCCCCGGAGGAGGCTTTCAGCGCAACTGAAGGTGAGTCTGGCCCTGAAAAGCTGGGCACCCCCAAGGTGACAGCCCCCCTACCCCGCTCCACTGCCGTTCCATCAAGCCCACCAACCTCCCACGGACATCTTCCGATGACCAGGCCAGCCCCGAGGGGAGGGTCTTGTCCCTGAACCTGGGCACACGGCAATGGCGTCACAGCCCAGTGGACAAAGACCCAGTCTCTACTCGGGACTGGCCAGACAGCGCCCTGCCTGTCCCCAACAGAGCCACCGCCCACACCCGGTAGCACACATTTTTGATGTGATGGCAAGAAAAAGGCTACCGGGTCAGCCTTGTGAGCTGCCGCCCGTCGGGTGACAAGGACCATGGAGCCCCCGGGCCTCCAGCGTGGTTGTCGGGTGAGGACGGGGAGCTGCCCCCTCGGGGCTGCACAGACCAACAGCAGGAGCTTTCCCTGGTACCCGGGCCTTTGGTCAGTCCTGGCCAGATTGTGCCGTGCAGACGCAGAGACTTTGGGGACACCAGGGGAGTTCCGAGCTGCCCACTCCAACACCAACCGGCCTGGTTTCTTCTTTTAGAAATACCGGCCAGGTTATGGTAGCTGTGCTCTGCGGTGGACCGGGAGCCCAAGACGGGCACTGCGCCCTCCGGGCATCGCAGGGAGGCTGAAGTCGGGGGGGGGGTGGGGAGGCAGCTGCCGTGGGGCAAGGGGGGGCGGT